GACATTGAGCCTCAGTCCATATTGAAGGCTGCAGTCCTTGACCCTCTACAGTAAGTGCATGAGATCCTCCTCAGTTTCAGAGAGCAGGGTTGTGTCATCTGCATAACGCAGATTGTTGATAGATTGCCCACCAATCCTAACGTCATGCTTCTTCTCATAGAGGAGTCTTTAGGGGGGTCTTTAAAAATCAGACAAGGATTCTCAAGATTCACAAAAATAGAAGAAGAGCTGATATAACCATACTGTCTGAACCATGTGAGTTCTATATTTTTCATAAATAAAAATCAATTCAAGTGTTAAAAAAATAAAAAGAAGGTACTGATCCTCACTGCCCTCGGGCCTTCCCCATGGCCCCTCAGCTGCCAGAACAATGATAGCCAGGATTATACGCTCTAGCAGATAACCCAAAGACTTCATCAGGTAATCTAATCAGCTCAAAGGGAAAAGATCTAAAGATGACAAAGCTAGAGGTTTTAAAAGAAAATAACCCAACTGTACCACCCTAGCATACAGATCAGTGCTCACAAGATCTAAGCATGGGTACAATATTTTCAATCAACTTTTTAGTGTTCCTTTCCTGAAGGAACACTTAGATTCATTGAACATTTAAGAACGCTTTTAATAAGAAGCAAAGGATAAACAGTCAATTCAAAGTGGAAAGATCTTAAGTATTCTCAGAAATAAAAAAGATCCTCTACAAAAAATCATACGGTAACCAGGAAAGATTAAATGGAATCTAGAAAGCAGGGAATCCAAAGGCAGAGAAGTAATAAGAATCCTTAGAAAGAGAGACTCCATAGGTATCTGGGTCATAGGTTAAAATAACCATCCCAGATTACAGCAGATCAGAAACTTCCTTAAGAAGATGACACTGACAGAAAACCTAAGATACAGAGGAGACTTTCAGAACTAGGAGGAAGTATGAAGACATATTAGTAATAAATTATACATTAGGAATAAGTAAATAGTAAACAAATAGCAAGACAACTATCAACTCTTGGAAAACAAAGGATACACAGAAAAGGTATTCACAGTAAATGACATGGTTCAGTTCTAAATAGAATGTATATATTTACAATAATTTTTAAAAAATATTGATTTAGTAAAATTTTATAATTATGTAGGATAGAGAATGAAAAAAAAATAAAATTGTCTGTTATTAACAATACAGGGAAGTGAGAGAGGAATGTGTGACAGTGAGTTAAAAGGTCATCTTCCAGAGTGAAAATTCAACAGCTAATGTCCAAAACTAGAACTCAAGATACAGTGTTACAGGTACATTTAGACATGTGGAGGGTTCAGGTTTTGAGTTGAAAATTAATGCCTCTCAGGAAAGGGAAGTTAAGCGCAGAGAGGATATTAAATTACAATTTTTCAGAGTATGCCTTGTAAACCTGTTTGAGTGACATGCATGTATAATCTTGATTTTTTTTCTAAAAAAAGTCATATAGAATGAAGAAATACTTCTTATTTTTATAAAACATAATTTTTTTCCTTCCTCTTTCCATACACATGAAGAAAAATCTGTCTACCAAGAGTGGTTATTTCTAAGTGGTACAGTAATGATTTTGTATTTTTTTTTTTACTATCTTCATTTTGCAGTTTTATAATAAGAATTTTAATATTAGATATTTTTACTATACCAGAAATACAAAAAGTTCTTAAAAAGGAGCAACAAACTTAAAATGGCAAATAAAACACATACAAATGAAAAAGAAAATGCTTGAATTTTTTTGGCTTTGATACTTTTAAAATATCAATCTCCTGAGACTGTTGCAATCGGTTTTACCTGGAAGGATGGATTAGAAAACTGGAAATGTTTTGCGTTCAAATGATTCAATTATTCTAATCTTTTATTTCTTTGAACACAAAAAATAATTTGTCTACTATTTAGGTCACTGTGTAATAAGAAGGGAGTTCTGATGACCTAGTGGGTAAGGAGTGGTACTGCTAACCCAAAGGCAGGAGTTTGAATATACCAGTTGTTCCACTGGAGAAAGTTGGACACTTTCTCCCGGCAATTTACAGCCTCTAAAAATCCACTGGAGGGTCACCTTTGGGTTTGTTCCAATTGACAGCCATAAATTGTTGTGTCATTAAAAGGAAGGTTTGGTGGCATGCTATGTTGATGGTTCAAATCCTCCTGTGGATCTGAGAGATAAAGATAGGCAATCTTTTCCTATGTGATTTACAGTCTCAGACATCAAATGGAGGATCAGCTATGAGTCAGTTCCGACTCAAAAGCAAGGAGACTATTTGAGCATGTAGAAAGAAATGGATATATGAAGATAAAAGGAATTTTTCCTCTTGGGAAGGCAAAAGTCTTGCAAAGAATTAGCACTTAAAACAATTGTGTTTTTGAAATTTTTATGTAAGCACCTTTAACCTAGACTTCAATAAACAACTACTAACTCTAGAAGTTTTCTCTGAAAAATTCTGTTAGCATCAACCTAGATGTCAATGACCTACAGTTAAAGCCCTGTACGTGCTTTAGGGTCAGAAAAGGCTATCAAAACAAACAAAAGGCTTTAAACATTAGACTTTAAAAACAAACAAACAAACAAAAGCCAAGACATGTAGTGAGGAACAATTAAAATAATGAATAAATGCTTTGAGGGGTTTATTGTTATTATATGCCTCATAGCAACCTTATGTACAACAGCCCCAAATCCTGCTCTATCCTGTTCTATGTCATTGTCTCCAACACCCCTATTAATCCAGTCACTGAATCAATCCATCTCAAGGGTCTTCTTTTCCTGCGCTGTCCCTCCACCCTCCCAGAAGCTGTCAATATATCTCTTATCTATCTCAAATGATGGAATTAAATAAAAAAAAAAATCACACACAAATAACATGGTAAGTCTTAGCTCAGTTGCCATCTAGTTTGTGCTTCAAAATTAGGCGTTATCATCTTTGACTCTACCTTATTGTTTAGCTAAGTTCTAATATTTTCTGCTTTTCTTTTGGACTTTCACAATTCTGAGTCTACACATATGTAACCTTTATAAAGCTAGCCTCTTTCTTCCTGACTCTACTTAGTCTTTAGCTCCCTGTAAACTCACACAAAAATTAATTATATGGACATAATGTGCTTACTCTGCTCTCACACTCACCCTGATTACTCCAGTCACTGAATCAATCCACCTCATAGAGGGTCTTCCCCTACTGTGCTGTCCCACCACCTTCCCAAGAATGACATCCTTCTCCAAAGACTGGTCCCTTTCTGCAATATGTCCAAAGTATGTCAGACGAAGCTTACGAATCCTTGCCTCCAAGGAGAAGCCTGCCTTCACTTTTTCCAGGACAAACATTTTTGTTCTCCTAGAAGTACATGGTATATTCATTCCTCTTCTCCAGCATAACAGCTGAAAGGCATCGATTCTCCTTCTATCATCCCTAGTCAATGTCCAGCTCTCTGACGCATAGCAAGTGACTGCAAAGACCATGGCCTGTATCAGGCACACCTTAGTCTCCTGAGAGACACCACTGCTGTTTACTTTGGAGAGGTCCCTAACAGCAGACTTTCCCATTGCAATACATCTTTTAATCTCCTGGCTGCTGGTGCCAAGAGTGTTGACTGTGGAGCTAAGCAAACTAAAGCTATGAACAATCTCAATCTCTTCACCATCCATCCTGATGCTGCCAATTGGCCCAGTGGTGAGAATCTTTGTCTTCTTGATATTGAGCCTGAATCTATATTGAAGGCTGCAGTCCTTGACTCTCTGCAACAAGCACTTCAGGTCCTCCTCAGTTTCAGCAAGCAGGGTTGTGTCATCTGCATAAAGCAGATTGTTGATGAATCTTCTGCCAATCCTGATGCCCACACTTCTCCTCATACAACCCAGCCTCCCAGATAATCTGTTCTGCATATAAGTTGAAAAGGTATGGAGATAGGTCACATCCCTGGCATACACCCTTCCCAATTTTGAACCATGCCCAAGGAACTCGATGGCATATAACAACAACAACAACAACAACAACAAGATTTTAGTTTCTTTTTTTTTGGTAAATGATTCAACAAGTCATTTTTTCTAATGAGTTGAGTGCCCCTTCATCTACCATAAATAGACTAGACTAAAAGATTTCTAAAATACTTTGTTATTCTTGTTTGTTTTTACTGGCTTTAAAATTGTATATATATAGTTTCATTTTTACCTGAATGTGATGCTTTGATGATAGAAAAAGATTTTTGAGGGCTGACATCAGTCTGAGATTCTGCTCCACTTTCAACAAAGGAAGGAAGGGTAAAGTCACTCAACAGCTCAGGCTCACTCTCCCAGTCTGAACGACTTACATTAGCTTCTAATACCTAATTTGCAAGATAATATAATAAAATTATTAGAGTTAATAAATACTTCCCTTAACTAAATTTCTGATCATTATATACACATAAAAAAAAATAAGACACAGACCAAAAACCTCTTTACTTCTAAAACCTGCTCCTTAAAAGTTCCCACAAGGACTACAGATGAGGGTGAGGAAAAGCAGCGGGCTGCCAATAGAGACACCAGGATTCCTTCTTTTTGCACAAATATCTCTTTTGCTGCTCATGTATCTACACTAATGGAAGCAGCAAATATCAATAATGACTCTAAGCAGCCTGGCATTCCTCACTTGGTATCTTTATCAAGTTCCTTTCTTGTGCTTGGATAGCCTTTCTTCACTTTTTCTCCTACTCATTCATTACTCATCAGAGTCTTATTCAACGATTTCTTGTTTCTCTGGATACTTGCCCCATTTTTATTATACTTAACGGCTGAGCTCTGGTAGATAAAGATACATAAGCAGTCTTCAGGTAATGAACAAGATCTGTTCCTAACTCTATCTTTAAAGTCAAATTTGTAAGTAAAGTGGAGCTCGTTAATAATAATGATAGAAATTCATTAAGCTTCTTTCTAGAAACTTAACCAGAACTTATGTCTCTACAAGTCAAGTAACAAAAGAAAATTTTCTGAGAAGCATTATGTTCCCAGGTATTCAAACTAGTCAAGAACCCAACCTCACTGCTGTATCTCACTAGAAATGGCTTTGTCACCTCCCCACTCACTTGCTTTTTTTTTTTTTTTTAAAAGAAATTGTTTGGGCAAAAGTTTACAGCAAATTAGGCTTTTACTCAACGATTTATACACATTTTGTTTCACCACTTGTTCTAATCCCCTCAATGTACAGTATTTGTCCTACTTCTTCCCTGAGTTTCCTGTTTTTGTTTGTCCTTTATTCTCTGCCAATGCTATTTTTTTGTCTCATGGTTGACTGTCCTGTTGTGTTCCTCCTTCACCTCCCTTTACAGACCTGTAACTTACCTTAGCTTTCCTTAGAGTGGTATAAATAGGGTTTTTACAATAAGCCTGCTTGCTCTTCTGAAGGTAGCGCTTCCAAAAATTATGTAAAACTTCATTCTGAGGGGGAAAAAAAAGTGACAATGCAGGTTATGATTACAAACATACCAGCACATATATACTAAACAATCATGTGTGCTTTACACATTGCCTTCTATCTAAACGTATTCTTACTCGTTTTAGAAAAAAAATCATCATATTACTAGGTATATAATAAACAATGAATAAATTAATTTTAACCTCAAATTTTAGAGACAGTATAGAAAGCCCCTTCAATGAATCACTGGCTCTTTTAAGTTAAATAAAGGATCAGAGGGTGATAAAAAAATCAACTTCTACATGACTACACTTTTAGTTAAAATTACTATTAGATCTACAGTTCCAAGTTAAATTCAAGTCATTTTTCAATTTACATGGATCCCTGATATTTGGTGCTTGTATTAGTGTAGATACATGAGCAGCAAAAGAGATATTTGTGCAAAAAGAAGGAATCCTGGTGTCTCTATCGGCAGCCCGCTGCTTTTCCTCACCCTTGTCTGTAGTCCTTGTGGGAACTTTTAAGAAGCAGGTTTTAGAAGTAAAGAGGTTTTTGGTCTGTGTCTTATTTTTTTTAATGTGTATATAATGATCAGAAATTTAGTTAAGGGAAGTATTTATTAACTCTAATAACGCAGTACTGTTATGACAAATCACACTTAGTGACAATTTGGTATTTTGTTTTTTCATTATATCTCACCAATAGTGATATGTACTAATTACATATTAGTATTTGCAACATGCAATCTGCTGTTATAATTCTCAGATGCTCAATGTTGCTGCAGAATTATGTCCCTCCACCTCCAAACATGTGCTATAAATCCTAGCTTTTTTGCCTGTAGCTATAATCTCCTTTGGGAAGAGGTTGTCTCTGTTCATAAGGCAGGATTTGAGTAGGATGTATAAAAGCATTTAAGCAAGTAAACAGGGAGACAAAGACTGTTCAGGAGTAGAATTTCAGAGACAAGAACTTTCCTCTAAGTAAACAGGAAAAAAGCCTTCACCTAGAGGCAATACATTGTATTTGAACTTCTAGCCTCTGAAACTGTTAGAAAATAAATGTTTCTGTTAGAGCCACTCATAGTGTCTGTTACTGTAGTACTGGGTAACAAAGACAGAATTACCTAAAAATGGAAGTGATTTTAGAACTGGATAATAGGAGGAGGCCAAAAGAGTTTAAGGAGCCTAATTGTAAGATTTCATCTGGCTTGGATTGACAATCAATACTCTAGTCAAGAAATCAAAAGACATATGTCTTGTGTAAATCTGCTGTAAAGGTGCTAAGGAGCAATAACACCAGTTTAAACTAAGCTGTATCTGATTCAAGTCATGGTCTTTTCAACTGCTTGCTATGCAAGTATCTGAAAGTTGAACAATGACTAAGGATGACAGAAGAATCAACGTCTTTGAGTTGTGGTGTTGGAGAAGATTATCCCATGAACTGCCAAAAACAATTAAGTCTTGGAGAAAGTGTAATCAGGGTACTCCATGGAGGCAAAAACTGGTGAAGTTTCATCTCACATATTTTGATTTGGGGAGAAAAAGGGAAAGGTTAGGTTGGGGGGGAAAGGGGAAAAAGTTAGGTTGGAAAAAGACATTTTGCTTGGAAAAAGGTGAAGGGCCAGCAAAAGAGAGGAAAAACTTCAATGAGATAGACTGACACAGTGATTGTAACAATGGGTTCAAGCAGATGAGAGATGATGAGGATGGCCTGGGATAGGGCAAGGCTCAGATCTGTTGTTCACAAGGTGGCTATGAACTGGGGTCGACTCAAAGGCAGTATTAAAAGCAACCAATTGCTAACCAAAAGGACAGCCGTTTGAGCTAACCAGCCACTCTGTAGGAGAACAATGTGGCAGTCCAGTTCTGTAAGCTGAGGAGGCTGGACTGCCATTGTCAAGAGGCAGAAGACTGGGTCCTGCCAGGGCCAAGGGGGTGGAGCTGCCATTCAGATAGACTAGAGAATGGAGCTCCTGGATCTAGAGGGAGCTGAAGCCGAAGGCTGAGGTGCTTCCATTCAGAATCCAGAGAGCCTGGCCAACATTCAGAGTCTATTTTTAGAAAGTCTCCCCACATCAATTTTATCCTCTCTTGATTGTACATTTTTACTACAATTGAAGGCCTACTCTTGCTGGGCATCTAAGTTTGTTTCTATTTTAGTCAATCTCTCTTGAGATCTAAAAAATCTAACATTTTTTACTACATTTGAAGGCCTATGCATGCCATAGACTAGGGCATCTAAATTTGTTCCTATTTGAGTCAATCTCTCTTGATGTATAAAAATCCAACAGATACAGGGGAAGACACATGAAGACTAATCAAGAAGTAGATGTTCAAAGAAAAAAAGGATTTTCCTGCAGAGTTGACAGAAAAGAAGTCTTGCCACAAAGCCAAGACCTAGAATTCACAATTCTAGGCTTCTAAACAGTTAAAAAATAGCGCATGTTAAAGCTATCCTTTCATGATATTCTGTTGTAGCAGCACTATCAGATAATTAAGACAAATGTTTATGATTTATTGTACAAAACACTGTTGTGTAACAGGCAATGAAAATGAAAACAAAAAAATATTTTACTTATGTTAGATGTAGCTTATGAGAGAGAATAGAACTGCATCCTTAAGTTCAAGACTATCTGTATTCATCACCTACCAGGTACTGGGCATCCATTAGCTGACACAATACTGCAAGATAGTTGTTATTATTATCATCATTTCACTAATAAAGAGACTGAGGCTTGGACATTAACTAACTTAGTCATGTTTATCCAGCCAATAAACATTCAGAAAAGTCATGTTAAAGAATGGGAATTAGTTAGTCCAGAGCCAGTGCTCCTGTCGTATCATCATCTCATGCCATTTAATGAGCAGGTCTAAACAGACATGCTCACTGGCTGTACTGTCCCCACAGTCTTTATGTGGGAATATGGTTAGATAATTTCCTGCTTATTCATTTATAAGTAAACCCTTTTCTCAGTTAGACAGCATATCTTAGCAGAAAATTCTCAATGATGTGCATGGAACAAAAGTATAATAACCAATACTGTTCTTTAACTGGCTTTGTAAAGAATTTTTGAAGTGGTTTTGTCTAATGAAGGGAAAACTGGAAAATAAAGAGCCTGTAGCCCAGCCCCCTGGTGTCTGCAGAGATTAGTTTATTCATTGCTGACTCACAGTTATGGTACCAACAATGGAGTTTATTAGGGAAGGAAGCTGGAGAGTGAGGGAGGCAAAGAATTACAATACAAACCCAAGTTCTAGCCCAAGCATCCCAAAGCATAATTCTTCTGTTAATTTAGGCTCTGGTTTCAGTTCAACTGTCAAATCCAAATCATCCAGCAAGGTTTGCACCAGGGTAGTTATAAGTTAGCTTCTTCTTCAAGTATCCAGTAAGATCAATAAAAACCTCTAACTGTAGCCAGCACAACTCCAAGAGGCCTCAGGTGACACCTTGCCGTAGTTTCTCCACAGTAATACCTTATTTTCTCCACCACCGGGACTTGCCACCACAAGTCTTGCTGCCCAGAATAGGAAGCACTAGTTCTCGTTTCCTAGTCCCACAGCTGATGCAAGACCATGCTGATTTGCAAGGCCATGTGCCCGCAATTAAGGTAGCTGGAGACCAGAGGCTAAATAGCTTAAAAAAGTAAATTTTTAGGCTAATACCACAGGTTTCAACTAGATGAAGGAAAATGAAATTCAATTAAGAACAGGGATATTGTGTTACTTCAAAGAGTGAGAAAAGTTTGTAGTCCTCGGACCAGCAGCATCAGTATCCTCTGGGAATTTGCTGAAAATAAAAATTGTTGAAGCATTATTCCATTATTCCAGAGACCAAAGGGATCTCTGATGGCAGAGTCCATAGAGAGTTACACTGTTAACCCAAAGGCAGTGCCTCTCTCTCCACTAGTGACTCCACAGAGAAAGATGGGTGATGTCCTGCAGTGTAATTTATAGCCTCTCAAGAACCCATGGGATTTGGAACACTTCTTCATGTGTTTGTTGGCCATCTGAAGGTCTTCTTTGGTGGAGCGTCTGTTCATATCCTGTGCCCACTTTTCAATTGGGTTATTTACCTTTATCTTGTTGTGGTGCTCGAGTATTTTATGAATTCTAGATAAGTCTCTTATCTGACATATGTCATTATCAAATATTTTTCCCAGTCTGTTGGAGAAGGTTTTGGATGTGCATAGGGATTTGATTCTTAGAAGGTCCCATTCATCTATTTTATCCTCTCCTGGTTGTAGATTTTTCAGGATACTTGGAAGACTATTGATGTTGTGGATTAGGACATCTAGAGTTCTTCCAAGCTTTTCTTTAATGAAGTTTATATCCCTTGGTTTTAGTCCTAGGTCCATGATCCACCTTGAGTTGGTTTTTGTATACGGAGTGAGGTGTGGATCTTGCTTGAGTTTTCTGCAGATAGTTTTCCAATTTTGCCAACACCATTTGTTAAAAAGACTGTCATTTCCCCATTTAGCTGATTCCAAGCAGATGTATGCACACCCATGTTTATCACGGCTTTGTTCACAATAGCAAAGAGTTGGAACAACCTAAGTGCCCGTCAACAAACGAATGGATAGAGAAACTGTGCTATAGGTATATTCACACAATGGAATACCATGCTGCATTGAAAAACAATAAACTCATGAAATATTATTCAAAATGGATGACCCTGGAGGACATTATGCTAAATGAAATATTTCAGTCACAAAAGGACAAATACTGCATAGTGACACTGCTGTAACTGGGACTGACACAGGGGTTGTGGGGGGGGGAGACTGAGAAAGATGGGATAAATGATGTATACTGCACTGAAACAGATGAAGAGGAAGAACTATTTAAAAGGTATATATGATTAGATATTATTGTCATATGAGTCCAGAACGAAGGCTGCATAGTGGAGTGGACTTGGGGGGAGGGATTGTATAACAATGAAAGAATTTTTCTTTTACTTTTCAAAGAGAAGAACAAACTGGAGGGAAGGGATGGGTAGGGAGAAAAGTGCAACTCTGAATGAATGGAAATAAAAAATCTCTGTAAGAAAATAAAAAAAAAACACCCATGGGAGGATCAGCAATGAGTCTGAGTAATTTAGACCTAATGAATCAGAAACTTTAGAATTGGAGACCAATAAGCTGGGTCTTAACAAGCCTTATAAGTGATTCTGATAGTAGGTGTCATTCCTCAAAGCACAATCTACAGAATTCAATCTTAACAACAGATATAATATATACATAAACTAAAATATTTTGGTCTTAAATTGGGAATAATGCATATTTTAGAAATTAAACAAGCACATTAACACATAAAAGGCACAATTAGTCTATTGTAATTTAATTTTCTTTAAACAATATTTCTTAAATATCTAAATTCTAAAATTCTTTTTATTTTCTTTCAAACATAGCACTTTATTACATCCTATAAAAAAACACTTTGGGAATTGGCAGTCTAATACAAATATTAAAACAAAAATATGAAAAGATGATTCCTTTTTTTTTTTTTTTTTTTTTTATTCCTTTTTTTATCACTAGTGTTACTAGTGATAATTCTATTTTCCTCTTGGTTTCACTGTCAATCTTACTATTTCTCAAACAACAAAATGTAAAATGAACATCTAAACACACATGGACTTACCTTTAATTCTGGTCCTACTCCAAGGCTACTTAAGGCTTCTGCTTGTTGATAAAGTATGTATTGAAAACCTTCACACACATACCAATCCCAACCTTTCTCTAAAAGACAAATAACATACTTTAGGTGGTATTTCACTATGTGCCAGCTGCTACAGTGTTACTATGTAATTATAATTTGTGTTTCATATATCAAAGTTTGATTTTTTGGTTTGTTTTGGTATATTTGAATAGGGTTTCTATTATCTTACATTCTCTTATTTCTAATCTAGTAAATCTGTACATAAATTATAAAAGTAAACACCATTTAAAAAATAATTATAAATTGTAAATGCTTTTAACTTGGACTTACTTATATGTTAAATGAAAAGGAAGAAAAGGGAATAGCTATATAAGAAAAATGAAGTCAGTTTTTAAAATATAGTTTACTAAACATTCATTGCTTATACCGCCCTTCTATTTGACCTCACAAAGGGAATAATATTTGGAAAAGAAATGAACTAAATTTAAAAAGGTCCAGGAGAACAAGAAAAAATAAAGGGACGGTTAAGAAAATAAACAATTCAGTGGGATTTTGCTTCTCTGTATATGGGTCTAGGTTATGGGAGAAAATGAAGGCAAGAAAACGAATATGTATTGATCTGTGCTTAAGTACTAGGTGTGTGCAAGGTATTTTAAGCAGATTCTTTTTTCAAACTTCAAAATAGCCCTAAGGAGTTATTCACCACAAGAGACAGAGGTATACATTTAACTACTAGTTAATATGTTTAAAAAAGTAAGTATCATTGAGAGCTCGGGTGGCTTAGTGGCAAGAAGCTGTGCTGCAACTCTGAAGGCACACAGTTTGAGTCCACCAGTTACTCTGTGGGAGAACACTGGGCAATCTTCTCCTGGGTGATTAACTGACTCTGAAAATCTGCCAGAGGATCAGGTACAGGTCGGTTCCGACTCAACAATACAAAACAACAACTATTTAAAAGAAATGTTATACTCTAATAAGTCCCCTCTGATTTGCCCTTCACTGTCGGACCAATACTAAAACTCTCTGAACAGCATGTTAGTAGCACTTCTTGCACCTATGACTCCAAGATCTCTTCTCTTGCAACACCGTAGGACTCCTCCTTTTACCTTATTTGAGTATCATAAGATTCACTCCTGCTATCGAGCTTAATTCTTGGAAAGGGTCTGAAACCAGGTATTACTGTTAAATTCCACCAACTCATGGTAACTGCATGTGGTGCCAGAGTAGAATTTTGCTCATAAGGTTGTAAATGTCTTACTTTTTGGAAGTGGATTGCCAAGTCTTTCTCCAAGATGCCTGTTGCTGGACTGGGACTAACCTGTTGGTTAGAAGCCAAATGTGCTTCTAAGAACTCAGGAACTCTACAGTACTCAAGAACTCCAAAAAGGGTCAGAAAAGACATCAAAATGAAATAGAAAGTCTGTAATTTTAATTGATTTGGAAGATGAGGCAATGAAAGCTTTTTCAGCACTCTCTTCTTCCTGCATGGCGTTCTTACAAACTTAGAAAGTTCTGTTTTAAATCACAATTAATCAGGTTTCAGCCTCAGAGTCACTATCACTGTTAAAGATTAAACAGGAACACAGCATTAGGAGTTCTTTTTTTTTAAAGAATGTCAATGTACTTCAGAGAGAGAGATATGCTTAGCAAGTAGCACAGTGATTAATATGTTTGGCTGCTAAGCAAAAGGTCTGTAGTTTGAACCTCTAAGCAGCTGCCCCTCAGGAGTAAGATGCAGCAGTCTGCTTCTGTAAAGATTTACAGGCTTGGGAACCCAATGAGGAAGTTCTACCCTGTCTAATACATGATTATCATTCAGACTCAACTGTATGGGAGGGGGTTTTGTTTTGTATAAACATACACAGTGCATTTCACGTGTATGTGTTGTGTATGTTACCACATGTAGAAGAACACAACATTATCATTGGGCTGGCATCAAATTTAACAATCTAGTTGTAGGTAATATTTCAGAAATGGCAACAGTTAAGACTTTACCTCAGATTTTTCTCAGAATGGTTAATTATATATATACATTTCTCCTCCCTCCCCAGATTAATGAATTGGATTACTTCTCAAACACACCCATGTTGAGGCTATTTTCAGGGAAAATAATATTCTCTAGTATATAAAGGTGTGTCCAAAGTTCATGTAAGAAAGAGATTTCTGAGAGTTGAATATCATGTTTAGCTTGCCTAACCTGACAATTCTACAGCTGAATCATTCAAGAAAGTAAGCATTTTTCTATAAAAGCATAGAAAATCATATTCGTTATAGCTAATGAATGCAGTACAGAAAAACATGTGTCAAGAAATATGTAAGTTGTTCTACTGGAACTGCAGCTTACTGACAATAAGGATAAAAAGAGGTGGTGGTGTCATCCACAGGGAGTTGTGCTACTAAATCAAACTACAAGGCTCTCTGGAGGAGCAAATCCACCAGCGGCTCCAAGAGAGAAAGAAGGGCAATCTCATGTGCAATTTACAGCCTCAGAATTGAGTAGTTTTGAACTTTATCTATCAATAGTTATTTATCTTCATTCCATTTTGAATTATTTGCTAAAAATGTTGGCATTTTCTCTACAATCTACTTAAAATCCTATTCCATGTCTCCAAGTTGTGAAGAGGAAAGAAAACTAAAAAGGTTCTAAAACATGGGTGAAAAATACTCAGCACATATGAAAAGGGCATACCAAGGTTTTTTTTTCTTTTAAGTCCTCGATTGATGGCTTGGATCTTGGTATTAGGAATAGCTCCAGTGTCTATAACCTCCTTAGATCTCTGTAAGAAACAGAAATAGACCATTAAAAAGATACCTTTCCATCACAAAGGACAAATATTATATGAGCTCACTTTTATAAAGACAATAACCAATATTTACTGGTGGTTACCAGGGATGGCTTTTGTATAATGAAGGAAACAAAGACATCTTTCTGTTATTCTCTACTTTCCACCAAGATCCATTTGACTTCAGCAGTGAAGTATTACGGTATTATGGCCACTTCTAAATCCAGTCTGAACTTCTGACAGTTCTGTCGATACACTGTTCTAGCCATTTTTAAATCATCTTCAGCAAGATTTTGTTTGCATATGATATTAATAACACTGGTTTAGAATTTTCACATTCTCTTGGTATTTTTTGAGAACAGATGTATTCCCGTCAACTGGCCAAGATTTCCAAGATTTCTTGGCACAGCCTACCGAGCACATCCAGGGCCCCATCTGTTTGTCGAAACATGACAACTGATATTCCATCAATTCCTGGAGTAATTTCTTCCACATTACCACTGGTTCTTGATCATACGCTATTTCCTGAAATTATTCTTGGTCAACCAATTGTTTTTGAAACCATGCCTCTGTGTATTCCTTCCATCTTCTTTTTATGCTTCTTGGATCATTCAAGATTTAGCTCATAGCATCCTGCAGTATTGCAACTTAAAAGTCGGAATTTGTTTTGCAGTTCTTTGATCTTGAGAAATTGTTTTACCAATAATACAAAGGCATATGACTGTGAAGATCACAAAAATTATAGCTAACACTGAGAAGAATTAGAATCCCAGAACACTTTATTGTGCTCACGCAAAACCTAAATCTAGACCAAGAAATGGCTGTCCAAACAGAGCAAGGAAACAATGTAGGGTTTAAATTTTTAAAAAAGATGTCATCAGGGTGTATCCTTTTTCCATATTTATTCAGTCTGTATGCTGATCAAATCATTGAGAAGCTGGACTTTACAAAGAAAAATATGGCATTAGGATCAGAGAAGACTCATCAATAATCTGCACTACACAGATGATGAAACCTTGCTTGCTGAAGTGAGGCAGACTTAAAACACTTGTTGCAGAAGATCAAAGCCTACAGCCTTCAATACAGATTATATCTCAACATCAAGAAAACAAAAATCCTCACTAGTGGGGCAACAGGCAACATAAGAATAGAAGGAGAAAAGAGTGAAACTGTCAATGAATTCATTCTGTTTGAATCCACGATCAATACCCTTGGAATAAGCAGTCAGATATTATAGGTATTTAACAACAACTTTCTAAAGAATGACTCTTACCCCATTCTTAGTTGTTGTTATGTACCATCGAGTTGAATATAGCAACCCTATGAACAATCAATCTGAACCTTGCACTCTCCTCATCATCTCTCACATACTCAAGTCTACTGTTACAGTCACTGTGTGAATCCGTCTCCTTCTCTTTCACTGATCCTCTACTTTTCCAAGCATGTCTTTTTCCAAGGACTGGCCCCTCCTGATAACATGCCCAAAGTATGTGAGTCAAAGCTTCACCATCTTTGCCTCTAAGGAGCACTCTGGTTGCACTTTGTCCAAGACATTTTTGTTTGGTCCCATGGCAGTTCATGGGATAGTCAGTACTCTTTTCCAACACCACAATTTAAAGGTATTAATTCTTCTGTCATCCTTAGTCTCTATATAACTGTAAGATGTATAGAAAGTGACTGAAAAGACACTTGTTATTTATGGTCCTGGAAAAGGCAAAACCTTAGGAGAGTGAATTGCAAACAGTCTTACCAAGGTAAATGATATCATTAAGAAATACACAAGAAAAAGTTTTTTCTTAAAAATATTGGGACATACATAATTTCAAAACAACAATGAAATATATAGTTACATAAGCATTTCTATCACTGTATATACATGAATACAAATAAACACAAATAGGGGTGTATGCATACATACATATTCAGATATATAATAAAGCACAAAGAGGGCACAATTATAGACCCTCTTGTTGCTGCTGTTAGGTGCCATAGAGCCAAGTATAACTCATAGCAACTGTATGAACAAGATCTGAACCCTGACCTATCCTGTGCCATTCTCATTTGACACATCTGAATCTACTGCTGTAGCCAACATGTCAAACCATCTCATTGAGATCTTGCCCTCTTTTGCTGACCCTCCACCTTTCTAAGCATGATGTCTCTCTCCAAGGAAGAGTCTCTCTTAGCAACATGCCCGAAGCTTTGTCATCCTTGCCTCCAAAAACCATTCTGGTTACACTTTCTCCACAACATATCTGTTTGTTCTTTTGGCAGTCCAGGGGATCTTCTCCAACACCACTGCTCAAAGGTATGAATTTTTCTTCTGTTACCATTATCTACTCTCTAGCTTTCAGATGCATAGCAAGTAATTGGAAAGACCATGGCCTGAATCAGATGCATCGTAGTTCTCAAACTTACATCACTGCTCTTCAGTAATTTGGAGAGGTCCCTGACTGCAGACTTTCCCAATGTTTGATCTCCTGTCTGCCAGTACCAAGGGTGCTGATTGTGGATCCAAGTAAGAGGAAATCAATGACAACTTTAATCTTTTCTCTATGTATCATGATGGTACTTATCAGTGAAGTGCTGAGGCGTTTTGTCTTCTTGATTTTGTCATATTGAAGGCTGTAGTGTTTGACCTACATCTGTAACAAGTGCTTCAAGTCTCCCCACTTTCAGCAGGCAACACTGTGCATTCTACATAATGCAGATCATTGATGAATCTTCCTCTAGTCTTTATCCAGCTTCTGGAATGATTTTTCAGCATATAGACTGAACAGGTATGGAGAAAGGCTACAATTCTGATGCACACTTTCCCTGATTTTAAACTATGCAGTATTTCCTAGTTCTGTTCAGACAATAGCTTCTTTTTCCCTTCACTCTGGAAGAAAACTCAAGATTTTTAACATTCTGAATTTAGAAATTTTGAAAAATATTTCTTTTCTAGTCTCATTAAAAAGAACAGCAATAATTGTAGCTAAGCGTATCGCGATGGGAAAGTCTGCTGTTAGGGACCTCTCTAAAGTACTCAAGAGCAACAGTGTCTCTCTGGAGACTAAGGTGCGCCTGATACAGGCCATGGTATTTGCAATCACCTGTTATGCATCAGAGAGTTGGACAATGACTAGGGAGGACAGAAGGAGAGTGGATTTTGAGCTGTGGTGCTGGAGAAGGGTACTGAATGTACCCCGGACTGCCAGGAAAACAAACAGATTTATCTTGGAGAGGATTAAACCAAGCTACTCCTTGGAGGCAAGGATTCTGGGGCTTCGTCTGACATACTTTGGACATGTTGCCAGGAGGGACGGGTCCTTGGAGAGGGACATCATGCTTGGGAGGGTGGAGGGACAACGCAGGAGGGGAAGACCCTCTATGAGATGGATTGATTCGGTGACTGGGGTAATCGGGATGGGTGTGTCAGAGGCGGTGCGGTTGGTGCAGGATAGAGCAGGGTTTAGGGCTGTTGTGCATAGGGTCGCTGAGTCGGAAACGACTCGACGGCACATAACAACAACAACACAATAATAATATTCTGCAATGTAGTCTCTCTCATCACAGAAATAATACTCAGAGCAGTCCTGGTGTATTGCATGGCCCCACTGAGAACACAGACATATCAGAACAAATGTGATAAAATAAATTGCGTGAAAACCAGTTATCACAATTTTTTTAAAAAAGGCAAAATTCAAAGGGATATGTAATTAGGTATTATTGTCATGACAGGAGTCCAGAGTGAAGGCTGCATAGTGGAGTGGACCTGGGGGAAGGGATTGTAAAACAATGAAAGAATTTTACTTTTCAAAGAGAAGAGTGTACTGGGGGGGGCATGTGGGGAGAAAAGTGCAACAATGAATGAATGGAAATCCAAAGTCTCTGTAAATTTTCATTGAAATTAATAATAAAAAATTTTAAAAGGGCAAAATTCATAAAAGGTGAGCAGGGAAAAAAGGCTTAAAATCTAGACTAGATAAAATATGTAACAGTAAAAAACTAGTAAAAACTAAATGTTGAAAAAGTGGAAGTTTAGTCATCTAAGCACCTTGAAAAATCTATAACCAGGAGAGACTGAAATAGATGAATGGAATCTTCTAAGAATCAAACCCCTATGCACATCAAAAAACTTCTCCAATAGGGTAAAAAGGAAACCCACAGACTAGGAAAAAATATTTGGTAATGACATATCTGATAAGGAAATCATATCTAAAATTTCTAGAATACACCAGCACCTCAACAAGAAAATGGTAAACAACCCAATCTCAAAATGGGCACAGGATATGAATAGATACTTCACTAAAGATATTCAATATTGCATTATTGCATTTGAATGAATGGTAAAAAAAGGTATTGATGACTTAATTAAAAACCAATATGCTTTGTAAATGTTCACTCAAATAATAGTAAGTCTTTTTTTTTTTTTTAAAAAAAGAAGATATTCAGATGGCAAACAAACACTTGAAGAAATGTTCAAAATCCCTAGCTCTCAGAGAGATGCAAATCAATCAAAATCCCTAGCTCTCAGAGAGATGCAAATCAAAACAACTATGAGATATCATCTCACCCCACTAACAATAGCAAAGTTCAAGAGAGTAGCAAATATTAAATGCTGATGAAGTTGTGGACAGATTGGAACCCTTATTTGCTGCTAGTAGGAAGGTAAAATGATGCAATCACTATGGAAGGTGGTATGGTGCTTTCTCAAAAAGCTGGAAATAGAAATACCATTTGACCTAGCAATTTCACCACTGGGAATATACCCTAAAGAAACCAGGGCTGCCACCCAAACAGGTATACGCACACTCATGTTTATTGCCGTATTATTTACAACAACAAAGAAACAGATTCAAGGGCCCAACAATGAATGAATGTATAGAAAAGTCATACAATGAAAGACCATGCAGGACTGAAAACAAGGAACTTATAAAATATTAAAAAACATGTGTGACCCCGGAGGACTTTATGCTGAGGGAAATCTCTCAGTCACAAAAGGACAAATACTGCACAACACCATTATAAAGCAGGATTGACATGGGGTGGGAAAATTAAGAAAAGAAGGGATAATAATGAACAAATTGGAACAGATGAAAGAAGGGTTTATAAGGAATGTATGATTAGACATTATTTGTATGACAACAGTTCAGAATAAGAGGTGCATAGCAAAGTGGACTAGGTGGAGGAAGGGAGGGAGGAAATTATGCAGCAATGAATGAATACTTTTTTAAAAAGTGAATTGCATTGGGGGTTAAGGAGGAAAGTGTACAACAATGGATGAATGAAAATCCAACTTTTCTGTAAACTTTTGTTAAAATCACAATAAAAACAGAAAAAGTAGAAATTTAATTAAGTTATGAATGACTGTATTTTGAAATATTTATACAATAAAAACGTCTGCAAATATTTAAATACAGAAAATAAATTATAAAAAAGAAGCTTCAACAGTACTCAAAGATATCCTTTCTATTCAGAGAAAAAATACAGGCTGAAAGAAAGCGGTTGAAATGGACACCGAAGTGGTTACTACAGATTTCATCTTTTTAATACTCAAATATTCTATAATAAAGTTATGCTCTTAGAATCGTATAAGCTTATTAAACTCATACAATTCTATTCTACACCTATATTAATTACTCAGGAATTACCTCCAAAATTATCTATTGCCTAATTTAGTCAGATTAAAAACTTGTAAAGCTTTTCCTAGATTATGCATTGTTTCCTGCCTAAGGCCTTTTCCAGATTGTAGCGTATCTAGAATTTGAAAGGTTATATACAGCATAAACTGGAGCGCAGCAGGAGGGGCAGAAAAATAGGAAAAATTGTACCACCACTCCTACTCTTCATAGGTCTCTTCCATCACTTCCTCCAAGTGGATTTCAACACTGCCGTCCTACACAATTCCAGAGAGAATATTACATTGTATCCCTTGTGAAGCACAGCAAAGAGAACCACCAACATTGTGTAACAATTTGGCAAAGGGACTAAATCACACATATTTCAAATATGTAATTTGGTGGATTTCGAGAGACACACAGAGAGAGAAAGGCATAGAGAGACACACATAGAAAAAACCATCATCACCTGCATATTGAAGCTATCTATCTCCCCAACAATCTCATCAGGAAAGTATGCATCCTTTCAAAATAAATGGCTTTTAAGAGCCTCTGGTGCAAACTGAAACATGGCAATTGGTAAGGAATCAAGGAAAGAGCTTGAAAGATGAAATTGTAGGGTAAACAAACCACTTAAGGAAAAAAAAAACCTCCTTTTTTCTATTTGTTTAATATATTTTGTTTAGATTTTTAAGGTAGAAAGTGGCAGTGACTGGTCCCCCAAGAAATATGTGTATTTTTATTGTTGCCATTATATGTTAATGCCACTATGACTCATTCAAACTCTATGACCAAGAGATCTGAATCCTGCCCTATCTTCACCATCCTCACTGTATCTGATATGCATGGGCCACTGTAACTGTAGTTGTGTTGATCCATCTTTTGAGGGTCTTCCTCTCTCTCTCTGACACTTCAACTTTCCTAGTATGATGCCTTTTGCCAGGGGACTGGCCCCACCTGATAACAGTTCCAAAGTATATGAGATAAAGTTAGAATCAACAAAGTTAAGGGCTGTCTCTTTAACCAAAAGTGTCATTTTCATCTTCTACTGATAATCAATCTGTGGTAACAATCCAGTCCAAGGAAATTTCAGCTTCCCTCCCTGGCCCAGTTAAAACATCAGTTGTTCCACACAACCCTTTCAACTTCATTTTTATTTACTGAGGGCTAAGCCAGGAGGTACCATTCCTTCTCTTTTTACCTGTTCACTTGGGGACAGACCAGTAGTTCTCATAATTATTTTTTAGGTAAACAATCAATGATTCACAAAATTTTAGAGAAAAGATTAATCTAAAAGAAAAAAAAGAATACAAACATAAAAGATGAAGTCCAAGAGGGATCTCAGCTTACATATCAACCTATGAACCCACAGAGTGTGCCCTAAGGGATATACTAAACTTCCTGAGAGCAGAATGTTCTCTTTTTCAACCTATAAACTCCAGTGATACTCTGCCTTCCAAGGCCTTCTATTGGCCTCACTCTGTGCCCTTTAAAGTTTCAAGAGTTTTGATCTCAAATGTTCCCTCTTGGTCTGCAAGATCCTTCACTCAGGTATGGGCTTCACTTGTAGAAACTAGGATCAAAGCTAGAGAAGAGTACTGCCAGGAGAACAGATTTGTTCTAGAGAGGGTAAAATCAGGCTGCTCCTTGGAGGCAAGAATTCTGAAGCTTCATCTGACATACTCTGGGCATGTTGCAAGGAGGGACCAGTCCTTAGAGAGGAACATCATGCTTGAAAGGGTAGAGGGATGGAGAAAGAGAGGGAGACCATCGAAGAGATAGATTGATGTGGTGACTGGGGTAATGAGGGTGTCAGAGACAGTAAAGTTGGCACAGAATAGAGCAAGTTTCAGGGCTATTATACACAGGGTCACAAGTGACTCAACAGCACATAACAACAACAACAAAGAGGGATCAAAGTCCAAATTGCTTTTTGTGAAGGGGTTCCATACCTAAATAAACCCTATACACTTGTTTTGCTGGTGTTGTTATTTACCATAGAGTTGGAACTGACACTAAGGGAGGAAATTACCCATCCTTCTGCGGAGCAACTGGTGAATTTGACCTGTGTGGTTGAAACTTATCAAATGCAATATAATCACTTTCCATACAGAAATATAATATAATCAACAGTTTAGATTATACCTAAGTTGAATGAGCCCTAACCCTAATCACTTCTGAATATTAAGTACATATGTATGGTTTTATTGTGTTAGCTGTTTTCACATTTATTCTGATGTTTTTTATGTTCTCAGTGGGAGCACAAGTACAATACGACAGCTTTGAATATTATTTCTGTGATGAGAGACTGCATTCCAGAATCATATCAGAGACAAATATTGCTGTTATTTTTAATGAGAATAAAAATTTTATTAAAAAAATTTCAATTTAGGATGTTAAAAATCTTGATTTTTTTCACCATTAAGGGACTAAGACATGAAGATATGTAAGTACTATAAGAGACAGATGGCATGAGAGAATTTCCCAAAACCAAGGAGTCATGGACTAAATTGTATCCTTGCCACAATATGTGTCACGCTGGCTATGTCATGATTCTCAGTATAACATAACTATCTTACGTGTTGCAAAATCTAACCTCTATCATGTTAATGAGGCAAGGTTAGAGGTAGTTTCATATTCATGTAGTCATTTCCCAGGATGTAATCTGAAGTATTATCAACAAATCAGTTATAAAGGGATTAAGCTAGGATGAAACATTCTCCAAAGGAAGAGTTTCCCCTTGGCTATGGTTCTTGCATCATTTTTCCCCCCTTATGAGAGATAAAAGAAGAGAGACACAAACAGACACAGGGGACTTGGTAACATCGAGAAAGATCAGAGGAGAGTGCATCCTTTGGAGCCAGGACCTTGCACTGGGAAGCTCCTAGCACAAGGGAGGATTAAGACATCTGGAGATCTCTGAGTGATACCAGGTCTACAGATGCCAAAGGAACAAGGACTTTTATCCAGAACTGACAAGAGATTGAGAAAGCCTTCCAGAGCCGGCACCACTGAATCTGGACTTCCAGCTTCCTGGACTGTGAGAAACCACAGTTCCGTTTGGTAAAAGCCATTCATCTGTGATATCTCTGTGACAGCAGCACCAAGGTAACAAAGATGGAGAAAAAAAAGAGACTGACATAGCTAGGACCTTGATTTAGACTATAGCCAGAGAACAGTTGGAAAATAAATTCCTGTCCTTTAAGTCCACCTATATTTGTGGTATTTATAACAGAATACAGAAAAATAATATAAGGTAAATTTGGTCCCTGCTATTCCATTTTTGGCTAGGAGCAGAAGTCTTGTGCCAAGTTCGCCTTTCTTATGCCCATTTAGGGTATCCTCGTTGCTTAACTATGCTCCATGTTGGGTAGCTAAACAAAAACTCAGCAATTATACCCACCAGCCACCGTTGAGGGAAAAAGATTAAACAGGATGCTCTTGTTAAGATTTACAGCCTTGGAAACAGGTTATCTTGAGTCAGTATCAACTCAACAGCAATTTTTGTTGTTGGTTTTAAGGACCATTTAGTGATTTTGAAATATATTCCACACATTCTTTCATGGTTCTGTACTCTGAAGAATACTAGTTCAGTCTGTCAGATGGCAGGATGTCCACAGGCTTGACTATTTTGACTCTACTGTCCTTCAGGTGTGATAACCAAGAAAGGAATTAGCCTTCCAGTATAAAGGTTTACCAAGGCTACATCGTTTCATCTCACAAGTTGTTGCACAAGGAAATGACATAGTAGATAAGAACAGATTCTGCAATCTATACAGTACAAAGACAAAATAACCATATTATCAAAGCTTTCAAAAGTCTCATTTTTCTAATACACCCTATGACTCAAACTTCTAAGCAACTCAGGTGCATTAACAACTCTTAAATAAATACTACCTAATAATATAAAGTGGGTCAGCCAAAAAAAAAGAGGGAGACCTTCACTCCTATGGACTGACCTGGTGACTCCGACAATGAGCTTGTGCACAGCAGCAATTATGAAGATGGCACAACCTGGACTGGGTTTTGTTCTTTTGTACATAGAGTTGCTATAACTTAGCATCTAACAATAGCAACAATACAAAGAACTCTGTTTTCTCCTAAGTATAATTGAAATTATTTCTCCATAAATCATAGCTTGAGTCATGAAAACTCTTTTAAATGTAACTCAACATAATTTTAAAAACTCATTCTAAATATAATTTATAAATTCTTTAACCTATTTGTAAACACTTAAAGACTCTTTACATTCTGGGAATTGTGGCATTATATAAGTGATGCAAACATTTTTGGGGAATTATGCTATACATTAGGCTGAAAATGTACTTTTAAACATTAATAAATTACATTACTTACATCTGTAACATTGTGGCAAGAAGTACAGTAATATCTGCCTTCATCAGTAAGACCCCAAGAGACAGCAGCACACTGAGTACAGCGTTCTTTGAATTCTTTCTAGAAAAGAGAGTAAAAAGGTTTACCACCAAAACACATTCAATACACTGTAGCTAGACGCTGTAGTTCTACTTTGCCTACTCCATATCATTTTACTCTATAAATAAAATAGCACAGAAAATATCGTTTATTTGCAAGTAAGGACAGCAGCAGTTTAGTCTCAGCTACTATGAAATCACTTTAAGGCATTAGAAATTTTTCTAAAATTAGCAGTCAGGGGTAAATAAGGAAGTAGGGGTAAAATTGGAAACAAAGTAAATAAAATATCTGTAAAATGCCGTAAGAAAAAGACAAGTTTGAAGCATAGAGAAGACTTGAAAAACAGAAATAGCACATAATTTGAAACTTCTTCCAGAGGACTATACATATATATCTGCCTCAAATTAAATAGGTTTTCATTGGGGTATTTCAACTTTTCAGATATTTATTCAGCAATATAAAGAGTATTAACTATATATGTAATAGTATTTAATAGGTGAGCAAACAAATGTCCCTATTGAGAACACAGGGAGTTCTGGTGACCTAGACTGTAGAGAGTTGCACTAACATAAAGATGGTGCTACTCTGGTGTTTTGAATCAACCAGCTGCTCCATGAGAGAAGGATCAGCAGTCTCTTCCCTTGCAATTTATAGCCTCATAAAACCTGGCCCAGAAACCCACTGGAGGGCCAGCTATGAGTCGGTTCCAACTGGATGGCAATAAAAAGTGCTCCGGTGCTAGTTGCACTGCTAATTCAAAGGCAGACTAGTGGCATCCATTTCCTAAACAACATACCTCTGGAAATTCTATGAACTTTGACAAATGACTACTTATAGAAAGGTTTCAGGCCTTTTGTTCATAGGGTTGCTATGAGTGATGCTCCACTCGACGGCAATCAACATCAACAACAAAAACAACAACCACAACATAATCTCTAGTGGTTAGAATCCACCAGCAGTTCTGTGGGAGAAAGATGGAGACTCTCCTCCTGTTGTGACTTAAGAAGTCTCACAAACCTGACAGGGTCATTATGAGTTAGAAGTGAGCTGATGGCATGGAGATATTTGTTTTTTCCAAGTATACAGGCAAATCTCGAGTTATAAGTCATTTTAAAATTTAGTCCTTAAGAATAGACAGCTATTGGTCATCTACTTGTAAATAATACTGGGTAACTAGTAGGTACCTATCGAGCTACTAACCGAAAGTTTGGACTGTAAGTAAATCAAAAGAAAGATGAGCCAAAAGACTGACAGTCTCAGAAATAGATGGAGTGTTTAAACCAACTCCCTATCAGTGAGTTTGAGTTATCAACATCATGCTTTTGTACACAGTTGTAATTCTACACAAAATTCTTATTCCCAGATTCTTTAGTGTTTGATGTCTTCTCATCGCTTATCAACTCACAGTGGTCTCATACACAACAGAATGAAAGCACAGTGTGGACACATGTGATGTCCATAATCAGTTGTGAACCATGTTTTGGTTGGCTCATTTTTTAAAAGTAGATATTTAGGCCCTTCTTCCTCGTCTTAGTCTGTAACCTGATAAAACCTATTCAGTATCACAGCAATACACAAACATCCACTGAAAGAAGATGAATGATGGCTGTGAATGAGGTACCCTGGCCCAGAATCCAGGTCTCTGTGCTGTCAAGGATTTATGGTTTAAAATGGCTTTCCTAGCCACTGACTCTTGACGCTGCAACATGGATGGATGGGATCATACAAATAGGGTGTGCTACTCTATCCACAAGGGGACTGTCTATCTTGTCATTAAATTGAGCAATTTAGTTAAGAAATTGGAAATTTCAATACCAACAAGGAAGAAGGAGTGCATATCCTTCAAGGATAAAGACTCCTGTACCAGCTAGCCAGGGATCTATACAAGATCAAAAGCAGCCTAAGCAGAGAACAAAATGAGTTAGAGCTGACTTGGGACTGCTGCCCCACAGAACCAGCATTTGTAGACTTTACCCAGTTTGCTGGAAGACTGAGCTGAGCAAATATGTCCTAACTGGCAGAATTAAGAGAACTCTGTAACACTGACCTAAGCCATGAGGTTATAGGTCAAAACCCGCAACCATGCTTGAGAAGCTGAGTGGGCTGAGGGAGTGTATCCTTCTGTTAGCCTGCTAACTTCCCTAATAAGACTCATAACGATATTGTTCTGTAAAGACTGTGTAGCCAATGGAGCAAATTTCTAACTCAGTAGAGCAGTAAGATTGGTGTTGGAATGAGTACAAGTACATACCATAGGAGGCTATAGCTGACCTAATGGAACTAGTTTTGTACTGTGGATGTTGTTGATGGGGACAGTTCCCCTTTGTGGAGTTGGCTAAGTCAGAGTCGGCCATCCTCATGCTGCCTACACTCATGTGGCATACACTATACTCCCTCACAGAAGACAAGAATTCTATCACCAAGCCACCAGTCATCCTCCTTGCAGGTTATATTGTTGATGTGTGACATGGAATCTATTCAAATTATTAAATTCATGTGACAGAGTAGAATAACCTATAGAATGTTCTTGACATAGCAGATAGCCAGATCTTTCACCCACAAAACCTCTGAATGGATTAAAATTGTGAACCTTTTGGTTAACAACAGAGCACTTAACCATAGGGCCACCAAAGCTCTTTCATTAAATGTTAAGGTAATGGAAAAAGCATCCCACGAATTAGAGTGTTTGCTCTGACTCGTTACTTTTCTTGGTCATGCATCAGGTACATAAGACCCCAGAATTCCTTGCTCAAATAACACTGAGAAGTTGGCAAAAGAATCATTATGGTGGAGAAGAGTTACATTGATCTTAAAAGTGAAGGCTGGAAGCCCCCTCACTCAAGGAGGTGGAGAAAGGAGTCCAGGTTAAAACCAGAGAGTTTATAGTGGCCGAAGGGATCCATTGCTGCTTGGCCTCAGGCTATACATACTGTCCTATAGAGTTTGGTGGTGAATAAGCCCAAGCTGGGTCTTGTTCAATTTAGGAATTCCCAGACTGCCAGCTGGAACAGTAGACTTGCAGCTGTGTTTCTAGCTCTCAGATGAACCCCACAGCACCAGACCCTTACACAACGGGCCTAGAAAAGACCTCACTAGCAGTCAGTGTGTGTGTGTGTGTGTGTGCCATCGAGTAGGATCTGACTGATACAGAAGATTGCCCCTCTGTCTTCAGCGGGGCATCTGGTGGATTCGAACTGTGTGCCTTCAGGATTGCAGGGCAGCTTCTTGCCACTAGGCCACCAGAGCTCCCTCTAGCAGTCATTTTTAATAATGGCTGAGCACAACTGCATTTGAACTGCTGCCCTGGTAATGCACACTGGGAAGGCTCCAGACATGTTTCATAGGGAAAATCTGTCAACGACCTCTCCAAAGTGCTAAAGAGCAATTTAAAAACTAAAGTGTGCCTGATCCAAGCTATGGTATTTTCAATTGCTTCCTATGCATCTTAAAGTTTGACAACAAGTAAGGATGACAGAAGAATTGATGACTTTGAACTGTGGTGTTAGACAAGTGTACAGAATAGCCTACAGACCACCAAGAAAACAAACAAGTGTCTTGGAGGAAGTGCAACCAGAGTGCTCTGTAGAGGCAAGGATGGTGAAACTTCAACTCAGATACTTTGGGCATGCTCTTAGGAAGGGCCATTCCTAACATCATCACGCTTGGAAAAGTGGAAAGTCAGAAAGAGAGAAAACCTTCAGTAAGGTGTACTGACCTCGTGACTATAGCAATGGGCTAGAGCATAGCAAAGATAGTGAGGATGATGCAGGACAGGGCTCGGTTCATATGTTTTTTCATAGGGCTGTTATGAACTATAGGTGAATCAAAGGAACCAACAGTAACAAGTGCCATTCAGTCAGAACCAACTCAAAGCTGACCCTCCAAAAGGTTTTCTGAGGTGCTAAATTGCACAGGAGGAGACTGGCCATCTTTCTTTTGTAGAGCAGACGGTGGATTCTAGCCAACTGCCTTTAGGTTGGCAACACAACTCCTTACCCATCAGGTCACTAGAACTCAAATTATTTTATTATTAAATTTTATTAGTTTTAATGAACATTTACAGGGATTTTGGGTTTTCATTCCTTCATTGCTGCACCAAGAACTCAAATTATTTAATAACTTGATGTTGTTCTCATGAACAATTGAGTCTAAACCGAGTCACAGAAGACCTTCTAATGGGGTTTCAGTCTATAAATTGCACAGGAGACTGCACCTCTTTATCCTGTGGAGCAGCAACCTCATGCCTTTGGGTTGGCAGCTCAATTCCTTACTATTAAGTCACCAGAAATCCCTCAAACTGAGCTGGAATCCCAAAGACAATCTTCTCAATGTGAATAACTGCTTATGAAAACCCACTGAAAGACCAGCTATGGGTTAGTTCCAACTCAAGCAACACACAACAACTCTTTATCTCTTGTTGTTTTTCAAATTTTTATATCGGTTTGCTTATAAAGTTCATATACATTGTGTTTCATGCTATCTTTCATGCATATCGTGTTTCATACAATCATTCAGATTCATTATATTTTCTAAAATGAATCAACAGTGAACTGTGCTCTCCATTGCCCTGTCCTTCCAGATCCGCCATGGATCTTCCCATTTCCTTTACCCACCCCTCCCTCCACACATCAAATTGACAATAGCTCCTAATAGCATCAAAGAGTTTAGCATTTTCAGTGGCACAAAGTGAATGCAAAGTTTTGGTGGTTTTTTTATACAAATTAATTTACAAAGTTTGAATACATTGTTTTTCACACAGATCTTTACCATTCCCTTCACCCCTCAGCAAATTGTGTTTAACAGCACCACCACCACCCCGCCCATCCTCACTCCTCGGCTTCCACCCTTCCCAGCCTCCCTTGGATCTTGATACTCACTCTACAATAACAGTTTTATATAGTCTCTATTCTTATGAGACTGAGTTATTTCACTCAGCATAATGCTCTCCAGTCCCTCCCAAGTTAGGTAGTAATTTATGAAATCATCGTTCCTGCATGCTATGTAGAATTCCACTGTGTGAATGAAAGTACCATAATTTCTCAATCTATTCGACTACGGTTGGACACCTGGGCTGATTCCATGTTGTGATGGTGAATAACGCTGCTATGAACACTGGTGTACAAGTCTCAGTTTGAGCTTCAGTTCTCATCTTCTCAGGGCATATTCCAAGCAGTGAAAGAGCTATGGAATTTCTATGTTTCAATATTTTGAGGAAACACCAAACTGCTTTCCAGAGTGGTTATACCATTTTACAATCCTACCAACAATGTAAAAGAGTTTCTATCTCACCACATTCTCTCCAACATTTATTACTTGCAGTCTTTTTAAACTTTGCCACTGCAACTGGAGTGAGATTATATCTCATTGTAGTTTTTATTTGCATCTCTCTTGCTACCAGTGATTCTGAGCATTTCTTCATGTGTCTGTTAGCCATTCAACAACCTTCCTCAGTGAAAATTCTTTCTTTTGCCCATTTTGTAATTGGGTTATCAGTCTTTTTCTTGTGGAGGCCCAGGAGTAGTCTGTAAACTTTAATTTTGAGACTCTCATCTGAGATGGTATTGCCAAATGTTTGTTCCCAGTCCGCAGGTTTTCTTTTCACCCTGTTGGAAAAAATTTTTGATGCACACAGGGATTTAATCCTTAGAAGGTTCCATTTATCAGTTTTACCCTCTGTAGACTGTGCATTTCTGGACGTATTTGGCAGTCTCTATAACAGACTATTGCTTCTAATCTTGGTTCCAGTTTGTCTCTTATGAACTTTATGGTTTTGGACTTTACTCCAAGGTCTCCGGATCCACCATGAGTTGATTTTTATGTATGGTGTGAGATGTGGATCCTGTCTCAGCTTTCTGAAGTGGCAGTCCAGTTTTGCCAGCCCCATTTGTTGAAGAGGTTGTTATCTTCCCATTTGATAGGATCTATTTCCTTGTAGAATATCAGTTGACCATAAATTGTTGGATATATTCCTGGGTTTTCAATTCTGTTTCATTAGTCAATGTGCCTGTCACTGTATCAGTACCATGCTGTTTTGGTTACTACTGCTGTGTTTTGAGGTCAGGCATCACTAATGCCTCCAACATAATTTTTTATTCTCAGAAATGTTTTGCTTATTCTGTGTCACTTGCCTCACCCAAATAAACTTGACAATTTCCCTTTGGATCACCTTGAAAAAAATGGAAGTTGTTATATGTACCAGGATTGTGTTAAACATGTAGATTACTTTTGATAGGATTGTCATTTTCACAATATTCAGTCTTCCCATCCATGAACAGATGACATAACCCTGACTGATTAAACTGAGGAGCACCTGAAGTGCTTGCTGCAGAAGGTGAAGGACTGCAGCCTTCAATACAGACTGAAGCTCAACATCAAGAAAACAAAGATCCTCACCACTGGGCCGAATGGCAGCATCATGATAGACAGTAATGAGATTTAGATTGTTGACAGTCTCAGTTTGCTTGGCTCTACAATCAACACCTTGGTACTAGCAGCCAGGAAATTAAAAGACAAATTGCATTGGGAAAGTCTGCTGTCAGAGACCTCTCCAAAGTACTGAAGAGCAACAATGTCGGTCTGGAGACTAAAGTGCGCATGATACAGGTCACGATCTTTGCAATTACTTGCTATGCATCAGAGAGCTGGACAATGACTAGGGATGATAAAAGGAGAGTTGATGCCTTTGAGCTGTGGTGCTGGAGAAGAGTACTGAAGATACAACGGACCACTAGGAGAACAAAGAAGTTCATCGTGGAGAGGGTTAAACCAGGCTGCTCTTTGGAGGCAAGGACTGAAGCTTCTTCTGACATACTTTGGACATGTTGCAAGGCAGGTTCAGTCATTGGAGAGGGACATCTTGCTTGGGAGGGTGGAGGGATTATGGAGGAAGACCCTGGATGATACGGATTGTCAGTCACTGAGGTGATGGGGATAGGTGTGTCAGAGACAGTAAGACTGGCAAGGGACAGAGCAGAGTTTAGGGCTATTGTACATAGGGTCACTATGAGTCACAGGCCACTTGATGGCACATAACAACAATCCATCAAGAGAGAACATTTTTCCATTTTCCATTTCTTTAGGTATTTTACTGTGTCTTGCAGAAATGTTCTGTTGTTTTCTTTGTATAGGTCTTTTGTATCTCTAGTTAGGCTGACTCCCAAGTATCTCAATTTGTGGTTGGTTACTGTAAACAGTACTGCTTTCTTGGCTTCCTTCTCTGAGTTTTCTTTGTTACTGTAGAGGAATCTCACTGATTTTTAGATATTGATCTTATATCTTGCCACTCTACTAAAATGGCCTTACTAACTCACAGTTTTTGGGTTGTCTTCGCGGTTTTTCTGTGTACAGTATCATACCAGCTGCATACAGCGATAGTTTAACCATCTCTTTGCCGATCTGGATGGCTTTTCGTTCCTTATCTTGTTGTACTGCCCCAGCAAGCACTTCCAATATAACACAAGTATACATTATAAGTCGAGACAGTGGACATCCTGGTGAAGGTAAAGTTTTAACAACTTGCTAAAGTTTCCAATGATATCAGACCTACCCAAGAGTGTTCCCAAATTAAAATTTGGTAGTACTACACCATACTGGCAAGAGCTCCCCAGAGAGAAAACCGGAAGGGGCTACCTGGGCGCCTTCTGGTTGCACGCCCTGCGCCTTTCCCACCCATTCGAGCATCAAATGAGAGACTGTAGGTTGTCTCGTGAAGAAAAGCTGAGCCTTGTTGCTACTGGCCAACTAATAAAACCTACAACTTTACTGTCCTCGTTAATACATATCGACAAACTTCCCCCTAAGCCAAAAACTATAACCTCTTTCCCAAACCAGGCGCACAAAAGCTTTGCCCCCACCATTCCTCTCCCGCCCAGCATCCTTCCTTTTCCCAGTGGCATCCCTCTAAACTAAATAGCTCCCACTCCCTTCTTCTCAGCCTCACTCTCCCCCAGCATGAGTTTTCCGTGGTTGAGTGCCACGGCCCCCTTACCGTTTCTTCTAGCTCCATAACTTCACCGATACCGCCAGAGCCGCCGGGGACCGTTACCAGGGCAGCGAGCGCCGCTTCCGGAGCAACGAGAACACGTTTCCTCCCGGAAACAAAACACCCGCACTTTAGGTTCCGGTCTCCAGAAGCCCTAGCGAAACTTACCTCCTTCGCGAAAATCACAAATCCTGTTTTTTCACTTCACCGAAGACGACATTCAGATGGCTAACAAACACATGAAGAAATGCTCAAAATCCCTAGCCCTAAGAGAGATGCAAATTAAAATAACTATG